ATTACTTAAATAAGAATACAAACTAAAGATGCAACATTATAAAGTTTTTTACCGTTAGTGTAGCCAATGACCCAAAGCAAGCCATCTGCGCACACACAAAGAAAACATTTACATTTATACAGTTATTATATACTTATCACATTTTCATTTCAAGCAGTTAATGACCGTTATTCAAACTGTGCATACAAAATATATCCTCCGAGTTGTTTATCATTCTCGCCATCCTCAACAGACATCCAGTGGCATTTTTACTGTGACACTTCAAAGTATTTTTGTCTTCATACGTTCCTGAAAAGGAGTACAATGGCAAGTAACTCCACAGTACCAAACGAAATTCTTCTTCCATCTCTTGTGTTTAAATTTATTGCGATGATTATTGGAGTTTTGGGAAATATAACAGTTATAACTTATACAATTTTCTGGAGCAAAGAGAAGACAGCGACATCTTACTTGGTCGGAAACTTGGCACTGGCAGATCTTCTCGTGTGTTTAACACTTTATCCAATATGGATCATTGAGTTTATACAAACTATATTAAACATTGATAGTGATCAAGATCTGTTTTGTAAGTTAAGTCGTTCTACCATCTGGGCATTGCTGTTCGCTTCAGTGGCTACACTTCTCGCCATTACTGTTGATCGATATTTATATATTTTAAAACCTCTCAAGTATCCGCTGATTGTGACAAAACGACGAGTTTTGCTAGCGATTTCTGGAATTTGGTTAACTGCATGTTGTCTTTTCATTGTATTTCTAAATTATTGGGAGAAATTTGACTTCAAATTAAGAAGCTTTTGCCACGTTATATCAGATGACTTTTTTTTGCTTATAAATGTTTTTATTGTCTGTCTTCCTCTTATTCTAATCTTTCTTCTTAATTTCCGAAATTTATATATTGCTCGGAAACAACGGCGACGAATCCTTGTTGAAACAGCACTACCAATGAACAGTCGTCGACACTACCAATGAACAGTCGTCCAAGAAACTGATCCGAATGCTCCGTTTCTACGTTGGATTGAAAGCAGCAAAGACATTTTTAATTGTTTTTGTGATGTTAGCTTTTTGTGTTTTCATTCCAACTGCGGTTGGGGTAACGATAGAGCGTTTTTGCAGTGAATCATGCCGCCAGATTTGGTACGTAGTTTTTAACTATGAATTTTATGGAATCAACTCGATCGTGAATGCTTTCATTTATGGAATGAGACATATCAAATATCGAAAAGCTTATGGAAATATTCTTTTTAAAATATTTCGCTCCAATAAACTCACAAACTGAGGATTTCCTATTCTTACTCACCGCCGTTCGTGAGGAGAGTCGACGTAAGTGGACGTTGCACTATTTCAACACAAGATCCTTCCACATCATATCCCTCTCTTGAAGAGAGAAACTGATCACCAAATAATTTATTGCTGCGCCACCATTTTATGGAACCAACTTCCAGAGTTTATCGTTCGTTGCAAGCGACGGCACAACGTACTATGAACGTTTTCCCGACTGTGACCGAATGTGCAACGATATATTTTTCAAAGTTGTTACTAAAATTTGTTTATAGTAAAACGGCCTGCTCAGCACTCACTACTCACGATGATTTCATTTAGAAATGCAGTTACCAGGAAAGGAACTGATTCTAAAATATGTAAATTTAAAAGCATTGGCTAACAGAATAAAGCGATGTAAAGACAAGGTACAAACTTTTATAGTTGCTATTTATATACAAACGTTTATATTTGTTATAAAATCCTATAAATAAACCGATTCAACAATAATTTTGCCTAGAATTTGCATATTCTATGCTGCATGTTTATATTTTATTTTTATAGTATAAAAATAAAATTGTAATACTATGAAATAAAATACATTTCTGTTTATTGACCAGTACTTATTTAATGTCTTCTTCATCCAGTGGTCAGAGTAAATTTCTACTTCCAGCAAGTAAATATTTGACAAGCAGTCTGGAATAAGCACAGGACTTTTAATGCATCAGCCAAATCCAAGTGTGCCCATCCCCCTCGCCCAGCCATTTTTCTGTAAAGCACATCCCGGGGGTTGGGCATTTCCACTCGAACCTTAGCCCCGGCGGGGCATTTGAAATTAATAATTTGGATTCTTGCACTTCACTTGTGGAATTAATATTAGAATGTTAGGGTTTGTAATCCAAGTGAGAATATATGCATGTATATATTTTGTAATCCAAGTGAGAATATTTTGTAATCCAAGTGAGAATATACAAATGTATAGTACATGTATATATTTTGTGTATATATTTTGTAATCCAAATGAGAATAGTTTGTAATCCAAGTGAGAATATGCAAATGTATATATTCTCACTTGGATTACAAACCCTAACATTCTAATTTTAATCCCACCAAGTGAAGTGCAAGAATCCAAATTATTGAAGTCCACCTCATCACAACCCGCACACCCGATTACCTAAATATACATGAACTTACGGTTAAAGCTCAACAGCTGGCCTCTGAAGCTCAGTTGGTTAGAGCGCTGCACCGGAATCGCAGGGCCGTAGGTTCAATTCCTACCAGAGGACCTTGTGCTGCTTTTTTCGCAGTCGTTCCTGGTTAGGTCTTAAAATGTATATATTCTCACTTGGATTACAAACCCTAACATTTTAACATTTGAAATTAAGGATTTGAAGGTTTTGCGATCACTAATAACTTGATAATAATATAAAACAAAACACTTCTATCTGCAACTTTTACAATCACTGATAACTTGATAATAATTTAAACCAGTCAAGTTGTAGTTTAAATAGAGAATAATACATGGGTGCACGAAATACCAGATTTATTTCGAGTGTTGAACATGAGTGTGCAGCGAACAAGTGAGCGCAGCGAACAAGTGAGCGCAGCGAACAAGTGAGCGCAGCGAACGAGTGAGATGTCATGTTCAACACGAAAAATAAATCTGGTATTTCCAACCACCCATGTATTTTTCTGTTTATTATATAAAGGACAGTCTTAAATGAAAAGCGATAATTTTTACAGAAAAGCGATAATTGAAAAGGTGATAATTTTCACATGTGAGATTATCATGAATAATTTCACATGTGAGATTATCATTTTTATCAGTGCTTGAAATCTCTGTAAAACACTATACTTTATATAATAAAAATTCATAAATTTGAACCATGCTAGAGCATGACAACAGCAAAATGCTCTATAGTATGATGCACAATATTTTGGGAGGTGAAATACACGAACAATAAATCAGAGAGTGTTTGCTTGGAACTCACTGGGGGGGGGGGGCAACACCCCTGATAATTGCTCATGAGGAATTTCAGGTAGATTTCCAGTGCACTTTTAGGTAAATTTAAGTAGATTTGCAGAAGATTTTCAGGGGAATTCAGGTAATTCTCAGGACATGAGAAAGTGAATTTGGAAAACAACTGTATTTTCGGAAAAATTATTATATGTCCTGAAAATTTTTTGTACATCTGGAAACATTTTGGTAACCTCCCCCCCTCTATCTAACCTCACACACACCCTGAGACGAAGTGCTAGCAACGGCACTGAGTATACATCTTTTGAAAACAGGCGAGGGGTTATTGCATGCATGTATTTCTAGTAGGTTTTACTAAATCTTTTCCTGTGCAATTATTACTAGCATTGGAGACAAGGATAATAGTTTGTTTGAAAGAGAAAAGAACAGGCTTTGAAGTAAGCCTAAAAGCGTTTAACTAGAAATAGTATTTCGAAAGTTATTAAGCACAAAAGATGAATTGCGTTTATTTTGATACACCCAGCTGAATATAAACAAAAATGTATAAGAAAAGTGCGGGAAAGGATATATGTGTGCCAATTTATACGAATGCCTTGAAGGAGCACTTTTTTCTCATCATAGATATAGTGCAGATTTATTTTGCCACTATAATATGAAACAAATATTTTATACATGTTTAATATTTTCATGTTTTTTAAGAACTGCAATTACATGCTGATCTCGGTTAAGGTCCTGTCACACTATTGCGTATGAGAGAAACGTATGAGTAGCGTAAACCATGCGTGTGCATGCATATATACGTCCGCATACTCGAAAAATTTTTAACCATGCTTACCTTGCATGGTTCCCCGATTTTTAAATAGACACCTTACGATTTAGGACAGCAACGGCTACAAATACAATAAATAATTAAAAAGAATTCAATAATTGCAATATATGAATAATTTAGACATTGTCCTCGCTTTGTTTACAACGCCAAATCACAGATTTTGACGTCTTGATACAACGGCTGCATTTCAGCCGCAACAAGTGCAACTTCAAACTGGCTTCAGCAGAACTCTTCCCAAACATAAAACCCATTAAATTCATACGATTGTATTAAATTCATACGATTGCTAATATACCACGTTGTCTTTAGGCCACTATTTGCTGTATATTAGTTTCTCATCCCCGCCCGCATGCTTTTTAAGAAAATGGCCTTGTTCGCCATTATTATTGCCATTTTTGACCATTATTATAAATTTTGTGATGTCTTCAAAGTGAAATTAGAAACGTTCCCAAACCAAATGTTAGTTAAAATACAAAATTTCATAACCAAACTGCAAGTTTTTCCCGCATTACGTACACACATTAAATATCCAAACTCAGATATAAAAGTTCTACCGGAAGCCAGGGGCAGGGGAGAAAAACGCCAGACGTCCTGGGTACAAAATTATGAAAACATGCTTTCAGTTGCACTTACTGATTTTGTGCTGTTTTTCAGAAAGTTGCTATATAAATGCTTAAAGCGCAATTTACCAAAATAAATTTTATGGGAATAATAACGCTCGCTTATCTACTGTGCGTAGATATCCGATTACACATATTAAACTAGTACAACAATGTCAGATACTAATATCAAATCGATTAAGAAAGAAAACGAAGCCTTAAAAGCAAAACTCGAAGCTGTCGTGAAAGAGATGTCGTCTCTAAAAGAAAAACTCGACAAGCAATGCCAGCCATTACAATCAAGCTCAACCGAGCAAGCAAAAAGCTTACAATATCTTAGTGATGAATACGATGACCAGTGGCGTAGCTGGCTGAAAAAAATCGTCCCGCCGAAGGCGGACCCCTCGCACCGAAGGTGCGACCTTCCTAGAGGGGTTCGGGGGCATGCCCCCCCGAGAAAATTTGAAATCTAGAACCGCGGAAATGGCATTTCCTGCGATTTCGAGGGTGGAAGGATGCCACTAAACAAAGTTTCCATACACCTCTAACAGGAGTATTTTCGCTTCGTAAAATACAAAAAATGCCATCTGGCCCAGAGAAGATCTGTGTGAGCTCAGAGAAGTGCTGTGCTAGGCAAAAATATTGCCTTCTGCACTGAGTACTGCGTATAACGTTATACCGACCGCGTATAATGTCTCAAGCACCGCGTATAATGCTAAAAGCACCTCGTATGTCTCAAACACCGCGTATATTATTAAAAATAAATGTCTCAAGCACCACGTATAATGTTAAAAGCACCTCGTACAATGTTGCGTGTAGCCCATATATCTTGATATATGTCAAAATCGTCGCGTATAATGCTCGAACTCGAAGTGTAGCACCGCGTATAATGTAAAGAGCACCTCGTATAACGATAAAAGCACCACATATATAATGCTAAAAGCAACGAATGAAATGAAATTCCGCTGTGGCTTTCCATAAGGCTCGTCACGCTCGTTGAAGCCATTGTATACAAATCACAAAAGCAACATCAAATATGATATGAATAGTAATATGATGACCTACCACCGTCACAGTCGTGAATACTCGCGCAGAAAGCTTCGGCAGAAAGGTTTGAATATTAACAACCTCCGCCTTCATAAAATAGCGGGACTTCGGCATTAAAAACAACCGTTCTGGGCATGCGCTGCGCCAATTATCCAACCAGAAACCAGAATTTCTTGTATAAGATAGTATTGCGTATCCCGCCACATGAAAATCAGCGGAACACGAGACATGCGATTCACGAATAGCGTGAGTAAGCAATAAATTGCGTGGAAATTAGCTAATTCTACAGGGTATCAGTTACTAGACAACAAAGAGGTCAAAGAGCAGACAGCAATATTGCGTAAACTTTAAATAAATGACAAATGAAAGCGCTGAAAAATTACCATAATTATATTTAAATTTTCAGAATAAACAAATTAGCAGTGGTTTTGGCTTCACTATAAAACATTTACACATTTTTTTGGAAATTGTTAGTCCCGCCCGGCGGGACAGCGGGACCGCTAACTACGCCACTGACGATGACTTGAAGTTATTTAAATCCTCAACAGACAAGGAAATTAAACGATTGGATACGAAGCTCACTAATATAATTCTAAAATTCGACAAGATATCCGAACAAATAGACGCGATTGAACAGTACAGCTACAACTACAACGTGAAAATTATTGGCATACCACAAACGCAAGACCGGAACGAAACCGCAGCAAATACCGCAGATATCTGTATCAATCTATTTCATAGTATTGGAGCAACTAACGTCACATTACATGATATAGACATTGCTAACAGAATTCCGACTAGAGGTGTTAGCTTCAAACCCAATAGTATTATTTGCAAGTTTACCAGACGCCTAGCGAAAGAGGCTGTTATCTCAAAAAAGAAGGAAACTAGGAAGCTAACTCCAGCCGACTTCGGTCTTGATCGCCGAGCGCGACTTGACCACATCGGTATCTTTGACCATTTACTGACACCAAAATTACAGCAACTCCTATACGAAGCTAAACGCTTTAAAACGGAAAACAGCTATCAATATTGCTGGTCGAAGTCTTCTGCCATCTTTCTCCGCGAGATTGCAGAATCTCGAGCGATAAAACTTAGAAATATGGGGGAACTTGAACGTCTGAAATCAGAAAATGATCACACGACAACAAATAGCTAAATACATGGAGCAGAATTTCTATACAGTATATTGGCAGATATATAAGTAAATACAAACTATATTTTATATTAAACTAAACTATACTTTTGTTAGTCATGTCTGAACTAAATGAACGTAAATCCCTCCTCAGGGAATTGCCATTTTATGGTACAAACTTTATAGAGTTTAATAATGGCCCATCTGGTATTCATACAAAGATGAAAGAATTGAACAAACTCTCCAGCCTTTATGACATGGAATCATATAACTTAAATCCGTCTAACTTTTGCAATATTAACCCTGACCAAATGCTTTCAAATCATCAAATTCGCACCTTTTATCACTCCAAATTCGCACCTTTTAAACAATTGCAAAACTCTTGGACAAAACCAAACAAAATGTCGGGTCTATCTATTTTCCATAATAACGTGAGAAGTCTCAAACGAAATTTAGAGAATTTGCAAGTCCAATTATTAGATGAACTTGATTTCCATTTTAATATCATTGGTGTTACCGAAACAAAAATTACAAATTTAACACAACTGAATTTCGAAACAAAAATTCCGGGCTATGAATTTGAATATGTTCCTACACCTCTGGCTTCTGGAGGTGTCGGAATGTACATTGATAACACGTTGGAGTATACAGTATTGGAAAAATGTACAAACGATGCGTTTCAAGCCTTATGGATTGAAATAATTAATCGCGATAAGAAAAACATAATTTGTGGAATCATCTACCGCCAACATAATGACCCAAGCCACTTCATGACCTATTTTGATGAGACGGTAGAAAGGTTTTCTTTGACAGGCAAATCTCTGTGCGTCATGGGTGATTTCAATGTGGATCTTCTCAAATCAGATAGTTGCAGTCATGCACAAAATTTTCTTCTCTCATGCCAAAGCTATTCTCTTTTACCATCAATTGATAAACCAACCAGAATACATAATGATTCTGCAACACTTATTGACAATATTTTAGTAAACACACTTGATCAGCAAATTCATAGTGGAAATATTATATCAGATATAAGTGATCACTTTTCACAATTCTGTATCATTCATTTTGTCAGGAATATATCGAAGTTATCAAGAGGTCAAAAAATGCGAGATTTCTCAAAATTTTCAGAAAGTAAATTTATGAGCGAAGTAAGCGAAGTCAATTGGGATTCAATAGTTGAAAAATATCATCGTGATGTTAATAAATTATTCTCATCATTCTACAATAAACTAAACAAAATAGTAAACAAACATGCACCCCGTAAAAGACTTACAAAACGTGATATTAAGAAATTCTCCAAACCTTCGATCACCACTGGGATAAAAAAGTCAATCAAAGAGAAAAATAGATTACTCAGTCAAGGGAAATACGAGAAGTACAAACACTATCGAAACAAGATATCAACTCTTATCCGAGCTAGTAAAAAGAAATATTATTATAAATATTTTGAAAATAATCTAAATAACATGAAGAACACTTGGGCGGTATTAACAACCTAACTAGAAAATACATGCATGCAGAAACCCTCGCCTTGCTGACAAAACCGTTGTATTTTCCGAACATGAAGTACCTAAAGTAGTTGTCATGGTAACACGATAATTTTTTAAGAATATTCTTACAAATGAAAATCGCCTAAAAATATCACTTTTAGTTACAAAATTATCAATTTCCCAACATATATATGTTAGGTATATAATTATACGTAATACAAGCTTCAATTTAAGGTAAAATTCAACCACAAACAATTCACAAAACGTTTTAAAGTGTTCTTTATAAAACCATGGATAATAAAATAAATTTTTTACCATTTATTTTATTATCCATGATAAAACTAATTAACTGCCTTTAACTATTAAATGGCTTTATCGATAAACTTTGAGTTTGCAATAAAATGATTTCAAATTCTCGCTTGCAAATAACTTTGCTTTATTTTTTATTTAAAAAATTCAATATAATAAAAAAGGGAATCAATATTAAAGATACACTGAAATTATATGCTGTCTTGTTTAGTTGTTTCATATACGCAAAGGCCGTCGGGTTTTAAATCCATTATAAAATCAATATTTAAAACAAACTTACCTTCGTTAACGTCGGCTCCCTTCTTTTAGCTGATTCTTTCGCCCTTTCTTTCTTGAAATTTACAAAATCTTGCAGAAATACGAGCAAAAATGAAGAATATTTGCAAGAAATTTATCAATCATCAACTCATCAAATCAAGAGATGTTTGCTATTTCGCTGTCGTCATGCAGTCGTTATAATGCAAACTTTAAATTGGACCAATCAGTGTCCGTTATTCATGACAGTCCGCCATATTTTTGAGATCAGTGAAGATGACCACCCATCGTTGGTGACCGACGCCCGCGCTCATTGATGAACTTTAGACTTCGCTAATGCTTTCGTTTCCCCGGGTGTAAATAGCCGGGGGGAATTAGTACCCTCGCACGGCGCTTCGCGCCGCCGGCTCGGGGATCAACAAAACACAGAGATCTTCCCGCCAAATAACAGCTCTAAAAAATACCGAAACTGGCCAAATTACTCGAGAGCCGTCTGTTCTTCCAAATATTTTGAACAAATATTTTGCCTCAATAGGACATAAACTTGGAACAAATACGTCACGACCCGATAGTCACTTTACCGATTACCTAAAAGATACCCAAATTCGAGACTCTTTCTTCTGTATTCCAATTACTTCCTCAGAAGTAGAATCTGAAATATTATCAATACCAAACAAGAAATCCCATGGCTTATACTCGTGTCCCACCAAAATTTTAAAATGTGCAAGGAGATTCATCAGCAAACCAATAGCCGAAATGATCAATATTTCTATTCAAAGTGGTATTTATCCTTCTATTTTAAAGCATACTAAAGTAATTCCTGTATTTAAAACAGGGGATGTGACAGAAAGCGACAATTACAGACCCATTTCATTGTTATCTAACTTAAATAAAATTCTTGAAAAAGTCATGTATAAACGTTTTATAAATTTTATCGAAAATAAAAATATTCTGCACCATTCACAATATGGTTTTAGACAACAATATTCAACACAGCACACAATTCTTGATATCGTCAATAAGATACAAGCAAACATTGACAAAAAAGAATTTACTTGTGGCATATTTATTGATTTAAAAAAAGCGTTTGACACAGTTGACCATACAATCTTATTACGTAAACTTCAACATTGTGGATTTAGAGGTATAATCCATGATTGGCTTTCATCATATCTGACAAACCGCTTTTAAACAACACAAATTGAATCTAATATTTCAACAAAGGAGAAAACACTTTGTGGAGTACCACAAGGATCAGTACTCGGTCCTTTGCTTTTTCTAATCTATATAAACGATATTCATCGTTCCTCAGATAAATTTAATTTTCATTTGTTTGCTGATGATACTAACTTGTTGTATTCTGATAAAAATCCTAAAACTCTTGAATATATTGTAAATACTGAATTTGCAAAAGTTTACGACTGGTTACAAGCAAATAAATTAACAATGAATTTTAAGAAATCTAATTTTGTCATGTTCTATCCTTACCAAAAAAAACTTAATTACCAAATAAGTGTAAGAATATTTGACAAAAAAGTTGGAAAATATTTTTCACTTGAGCGGAAGGAGTATTTAAAATATCTAGGAGTTTTGCTTGATAAGCATTTAACTTGGAAACATCATATAGATTACGTAGCATCTAAAATAAGTAAAACAGTTGGAATTATTGCTAGGCTAAGGCATTTTGTTCCTTTCCAGGTTCTCACAAGTATTTACCGATCTCTTATACTTCCTTATCTATCATATGGTATCACTATCTGGGGAAATACTTCTCAAATATTTTTAAAAAAACTTCTGGTACTTCAAAAACGTGTTTTACGAATAATGCACTTCGCTAGCAATCGAGATCACGCTGTTCCCTTTTTTAAAAATACAACTAATTTGCCAGTGAATATGTTATATTTTGAATCAGTTTCGAAGTTAATGTATGACGTCAACAATGATTTAGCACCAAAGAATATAACTGATCTCTTTACCCAAGTTGCTACTGTACACACCTATGGTACTAGAGCTTCAACTGCTGGTAACTATCAAATTAAGTACTCTCGTACAACTCTACAAAAAAATGCTTTTTCTAGAGTTGATGCAAAAATATGGAAATCGCTTCCAAAATATATTCGTAATCTTAAGAGAAAAGAATTCGCTAAAGAGATGCACACATTACTCCTTAACATTTTGAATAATGAGGACGACTACCTTGAAGTCCCATTGATTATACAGAGAATGTCTGTTTGATTTTATGTCTGATGAATTTTACTTTTGATTTTCTTTTTTTCATTAGTTTCTAAAGAGCGTGATGAGTTTTGATTCTTTAAAAGCATTTCGTCACCAACATACATCTATACTGATTTACACTTTTCATAACATATACCCTAAGGTTTCGACTGTAGTTTCATTATCTTAATTTCAATCCCTATATATTCTATTCCTAATTATACCGAAATCTCATCTTGTTAAATATCAAATGTTGTTAAATAATTAAATATACTATCCCCACCTTCGATTAGCTTTTTCTATTTGTGGGAATAGTATTTTCTTCATTTATGTATTTTCTTTTTAATAAAAATTGAAATTGAAAATTGAAAATTGGGAGGGGAAATCCAGCAAATAATGGCATAATGGTATTGGCCGCCAGCCCGCATCCACTTTAGGAGAAGCTCCGAATGAGAAACTAATATACAACAAATAGTGGGCTTTAATACTACCATTTATTTGAGGGAGTTTGTTTTGGCCGTCGTCGTCGCGTTGCCGTCCTAAAATCGTAAGGTCTCTAATAACCCCTCCGTGCGATCGTTAAATATATACACCCTTTAGTTACTTCTTCGCCCGTTCAGAGCTTTCAGGTTTTAATATAGCCTAATAGCTCAAAGCAACAAGAAAGAAATTCGTTTTTTACATCAAAACGTTTTTGTATACCCAACCATGCATGTATATTAAAGTTGATTGTTTATAGATTCTAATTTCGTACCTTGTCTCTCTATGCCCATGAGAGAAATATAAATGTAAAGTAGTACACTCATAGGCGTACGGGATTCATATATCTATTGGAGGAGCTGTCGTCTATATTGCCCGAAAATATTTGGGCCCCTTTCTTGACTTTTCTTTGGGGGATTTTACCTCCCCCTCCCCGACTTCAACGAGTTAAGATTGTAATGATTTTACGATATAAATATACTGTTAAGAAAGCGAAGAAAAACTTGAAATTACGCGTTGACCGACTTCAAGCGATGACGGGGATTATATATGAACCGCTTTTCACGCGAAAAACATTACTCTCTAATAAATTGTATACTATACCGCTTTCTTCTAATATTCTCTTGTGATAGATGTGTACATTCGGAGGAAATTAATTGGTGCATATAGTTTTAGTTACCAAGATCAGTATGTTTACAGTGCTTTCATACACTGATAAATAATAAAAAGATAATACCGGCGGATAAAATTAGCAACGCGTGCATGTCAATTTCAGTCTGAACATGCGTCAAGACTTTTCCTCTATGTTATAAAGCTAGCATAAATGCTTAGTCTTTATCCAAAAAACAGCCATATTTGAAAGATAGTGAACAATTTTGTATGTTCTTAACGCGAAAAATTTAAGTAAATGCATTAACAAATTATAGCTTATAATTAGTCGAATTAGCGAAAATTGACTATATTCATGACGCGCTTGTCAAGTGAAAAAACACACTGCCCAAAGATTTTATTATTTATTCTAGTAGATGTGTCATAATACTCAGTAGCTGCAATAGATTGGATACCTGATACCGTTGCACTTTTGAGAAAAAATAATTTACCGCCAGCATACTACTAAACACGAATATTTAATCCGCTGTCTGAAAGACGTTTTTAAAAATACACAATATTTTGTTTGCTTCAAGTGATCAGCATAATTTTTAGTTTAGGTTTATGCCTAGGCAGGAAATAATAAAATATGTAAGTTTCAAGAAGTTAGAATAAAAGCGCAAGATGAACTGTGAGATATAAAAAAGCTCAAATATCACTTGCGTAATTAACGTTTTAACTTGTTTTCGAACGCGTCCAAAAATAATTGCGAAAATTTTTTTAAAACTGCATGACTTCAAAGTCAACGTTTTTTGTTCATTTTATGAATGACTTCTTCCACACAGAAAGTTTGAAGGAAATCTGTAATCTTAAGAAATTCGAGTGGTCGGTTTTTACACGGACTGCCTCTTAAGAGGGCACATAAAGGCCTACTCTGGGGCGGTAAATCGCCTTAAATCGCCGTGAGATAATGCGATTTTGGGCGATTTTAGGCGATTTAAGAGAAATTTGACAATTTTAACCCGCGATTTAATGCGATTTTAGGCGATTTAAGGCGATTTACCGCCCCAGAGTAGGCCTGCATAATCCATCACCGTTTTTTCAACGTATATTCTCAATCCAGCTTATAAGTTAGTCATATGAACGATAGCCAAGTGTCCAGCTAATGGGAGCCCCCAATAAGGATAAAGTAAATATACATGCAAACCACAGTGCATTATCCCAGAATTATTATTATTATTATTATTATTATTATTATGAGCTATATTTCAACACGGTACAATTTCACCTATACTAAAATTAATTATGTACAAGATATAAAAAGAAAAAAAGGTGATCTTCCAACCGGCCCTGCTCACACAAGGAGAAATAAGAAATAATTACAAGAAAATTATTTTAGGTAGCTGCGCGGTCCAGTCTAAAGACTCGTCTATCATTAGGCCCAATGATTTTGTCATTTCAACTCTCTTAATTTCTAAGTTACCTACACTGATAGCAGGATCGGCAGTCACTTGACAAAGCCTTTTCTTGGAACCAATTATCATATATTCGGTTTTACTATTGTTCAGAGTTAATTTGTTTGCGGACAACCAATTTGCAACATTGTTTAAATCTCTATTTAATGTTTCAGTGATAACTTTGATATCGTCACTTGATGTTGCAATTTGGGTATCATCTGCAAACATATCTGGTTTTGTCCCAGCGTTTAAACATTTTGGCAAATCATTGATGTAAATTAGAAATAACAATGGGCCTAAACCAGAACCCTGAGGTATGCCTGTTTTCATAATTGATGGACTTGATAGTTTGCCATTCACACAACAGCACTGGGTCCAATTTGATAGATACGACTCCAGCCAGCGATGTGCCGTTCCCTTTATTCCATAAGTTGCTATTTTGTCTAAGAATATATTGTGGTCGACAGTATCGAATGCTTTTTTCAGATCCAGAAACACAATCCCATTTAGTTCCCCAATGTCAATATTTGTATACCGCTCGTTGGTTATGTGCAGTAATGCTGTAACAGTTGAGTGAAGTGGTCTAAATCCGTGTTGGGAGTTTGAAAGTAGATTATAGTTATGTAAACAATTATAAATTTGGTTATAAATCAGCTTTTCCGCAATTTTGGCAACTACTGATATAACGGATATTGGTCTGTAGTTTGTCATTTCATCTTTAGCTTCAGACTTAAAGATCGGAGTAATTCTAGCGATTTTCCAATCATTGGGGATTATGCCTGTTAAGATTGACTGGTTGAATATTGATGTTAGGGATGGTGAAATAACTGCTGCCGAACGTTTTAAGATACGAGAGAGGAGTTTCAAAACATCATTTTCTGAAATTTCTTGAAAGCTAGGGAGCCCATTAACTACATCACTGAGAAAACTATCCGGTAAAATATTCGATCGAGGAATTTTATTCGCAAGTTTTCCCCCTAGTTCAACAAAGTATTTATTAAAGGCATTAGGGATCAGCGTTTCGTCAATTACTTCACCATTCTCATCTTTCATTTCTGGGATTTTATTATTAGTTGACTTTCTATTCATCACTTCGTTGAGTGTTTTCCATGTTTGTTCTAAATTTCCTGAATTGCTATGTAGTTTTCCTCGATAATAGGAGCACTTTGTATCTTTTATTTGCCTATTGGTTTGGTTTTTTGCCTTTCTGTAGACAGACCAGGCATCTGTTTAGCCTGCGAACAGGATCTCCAGCTGAATTGAGAGCCTGCATCGATGACTAATGAATTTGAATATCTGCCCCGTAACGTTCGTTTTTCCAAATATGGAATGTCTATCCTTATTTGGTGTTGTTTACCACTTTCGTGCAAACTAAATTTAGACCGTGCAAACTAAATTTAAACGGTGCAGTTTATACTGTTTTTCGAAATAGAAGATATTCAAGCAAAAGTTTAAATGTTTTAAATACTGTTTTCTCAAAACAGAACATTTCGTGCTTTGAGATAAGATGGCCAAGACCAATTTGATCAGTTAATGTGTTTTTTATGCATAGTGCTTCAGCAGTTAACATATATAGAGCTCAGCGGAAACATATAAATTATAGCATCTGGCCAATGAGAATTTCGCGTCACGATTTGAGACGCAGATATTCAAATTCATTAGTCATCGATGCAGGCTCTCAATTCAGCTTGAGAGCCTTTTCGCAGGCTAGCATCAGTTGTGTTGGTTGTTCCAGCTTTCCTATGTAGGAAATTAATATGTCGTTTATTGTGAATTAGGTCTGTTGTTAGCCAAGGTAGCCGCTTAGTGCCGACTTTCCGTCTTTTTACTGGGGCATGGTTGTTCCAGATTCTGAAGAATTTATTCTTCCAAATCTGCCAAGATATATTTGGATCATATTGATCCAGGTCAAAATCGGATAAGTAATTTTGTAGGTCGCGCAAGAATATTTGTTCGTTGAAATGTTTGTAGTCGCGGTATTCGATTATTTTTGCATTTTCTTTGCAGACCTTAAATTTTCTGATGCCGTAAATAAGATAGTGATCACTTATGGAAACAGTTGACACTCCCTATGAAATAATATTATCAGGATTTGTTGTATAAAAGTGATCAATTAATGTCCGAGAATGCAGGAATTGTTATTCAAGGGACTCTTGATTTCAAAATTTCTCGCTCAATATGTAATCAATATCAATAACCTCCAGAATCTTTGACGATAGAAAATCACTTGGGTCCCAAATATAAAAATTTGGCCCGGGCACCCAAATTTCTCTTGTGCGGCCCTGAAACGAGTACCAACGCTCAAACATGGTTAAAAAACGATCAATGACCTTGTTTGGTATGCTATCGCTAAGGACTTGGTTATAATAATGAATAATAATTATAATAATTGATGTTTATTGAAACTCTCTTGCAATATATTTACACTGAATTAACGAGTCCAAAGTATTCCTAAAACTATATTTACATGAATACATACGACTGTTAAAACTATGTATAAACATTAAAAATATTTAAAGGTAAAAAATATTATTGTTCAGATCTTAAAGTTCTGCATTTGGTTGTGTTCTTAAATAAAATAGTATTGTCTTGCCCATTTCGTAGGCTATACCTGCATTCGCTCATCTTATGTTTTGGGAGCATAAAATGCAGGGGATGATCCTCCTTCTTCATTTTAGTCATATATTTTTTACATAACAGTTCGCGTCTGCTCTCCAAAGTTGGTATCTGTGCCATCATCATCGCTTCATTATTATTGTCTATGGAAGGGAAGATGATTCGAAGTGCCCTTGTCTGTATTGATTCTATCCTTTCACTTAAGTAGTCAGGGATCGCTTGCCATATTGGAACAGCATATTCCAATATGGGTCTGATAGTAGTTCTACGCCAGCTCTACGAAGTACGCGGAGGGAATATAGCTTTTTACAAGCTTTTTTGTAGATTTAATCAACATGTTTATTCCTCTTGAGATCCTCACTCAATTGAACTCCAAGTAATTTATAATTGGTTACCCTTTCTACTACGTTGCTGCCTATTACAAAAGGCCTCATTATGGAGTTGTTATTATTCATAAAATTAATTACTATCTCCTTGCATTTAAGTGGGTTGAGACTCATGTTATGATTTACAGAGAATTGATGTAATTCATCTACCGTATGGTTCAGTTAACTAATTGAGTTCCTGGGAATGATCTCTAGCGCAGCTGTGTCATCGACAAACTTTGTTCTTAAATGCCAGTTAGATATTAGCTTATTTGTCATAACCGAGAAAAGAATAACACCAAGTTTAGTTCCCTGAGGTATACCACCATTTGGGGATTTCCAGTCTGACAAAGTCCCCCCTATTCTGACAGCCTGTTTTGAAGTTTTCTATGTGAAAGAAAAGCGTTAATCCGATTTTATAAGACAGGATGAATATCCAATTCCATCAGCTCCTGCATGAAAACATGGTGGTCAATACGGTCGAACCCTTTGCTTAAATTCGGCAAAAAAGAAACGAGCACAAGCATTTCCGCTATCAAGGGCCTCGTAGACGGGTTGAAGCAAAATAGTAGTGCATCCGTAGTGGAGTGACCCTTACGAGCAAACTGACGGGGGTCAATTTTTCGTGTCAGCTGTGATAGAAGTCTGGGAATTTGGTTGAGAGACGCATGGGAATTTAAACGTTGCTGTGTGGGTCAAATGATAGGACTGCGCGCAGGATAAATGACCACTATTTAGAACAGTATGATAAACTTTTTAAATATGTTGCGTTATTTTAATGTATATTGTTTGGCCAATTATATATGCCCGCCAGTGAGAAAACAGTTGCCATAAATTAAAACATCGTACGGTATAAATATAGTTTTTAAGATTTAATTACAAAAACATAGGAGACGCAGTAGATAGTTGTAATAGGTACAAAAATACTAAAATGCTTCAAAATTCAATAAAAAGTCATTGTGTTACCGTGGAAATATTCTAGGAACTGTTTTTATAGCCATAGGTGTTTATTTAAATCATACGAGACTCAAGCTTGCGTCATGAGTGCAGACTTGCAGTGGCGTGGTGACGCGTATATGGGAAGGAAACTCATTGCTTTATATCCACATACATGCTCACTTCGCAACCAAAAATATGAAACAGAACAATTTCCGTATTTTGATGTTTTGATTTTCATCACAATTTCCATATTTTAATGGGTTTTTTTTAACTTTTTAATAATAACAGTAATAATTTCAATTTATATAGCGTACATATCCTGAAGAGTCCAAGGCGCTCTATATACTTGTAAAGCGCCTTGAACCTTTCAGAATATTTGCGCTATATAAATTGAAATTATTATTATTTGTATATTAATATTATTAATATAGAAAGTTTAAATTTTTATAATGTTAAAATTAATTACGCATGTAACTTCTTTAGTGCGGAAAGAAAAATGTAAAATCTGTGACAATGTCATTATTGGTGCTACTTTTAAAAGCCATGTTGAGGGGCGGTCTTTCTGCATTAACCATCGCTTCGATTGTGACTCGGAGGGTATAGTGTATTTGATTAGTTGTAAATTCTGTGGGTTGCAATATGTAGGGAATACTATAACACCGTTCAGATTGCGATTTAATAACCACAAGAGTGCATTAAATAGATATGGGCGGGGACAGAGAAATATTTGTGGGCAACAATTGTTGATGCCTCACGAATGTGGGACATCAAAACCATGCCAGAGCGCTCAAATGCAAGCAGTGAGCATGCGCAATGCGTAAGTGCAGGCAATGGCTCATCCTGTATAGCGCTCAATATGACCTAAACGCCATAGAGCGATATAATCTTTATATGTTTAAAGATTTGTAATCGAGGCATATTATAATTACTGAAAATTCTCCAGATTGAAATATACTTTTATTAAGCTTTCGACTCGGTACTTCGAGCCTTCTTCAGAATACTGAGCCGGATTATTGTACATATATACATTATTTAAGTTTTGCGGTGTTGTTACGTTCTTGCATACGTCGAGACCGTCTGACTGGCTGTTCCGTGGTTGATCTGATCTCATTGGTGGTTGAAGGATGTGCACGTGTTATCATGGTTGAGTGAATTCCGCTGCTAAGGATGGCATCATTGGATGGTGTAGTAACTTGATCTATTAATATATCAATTATCATATGTCAATCAACCAGCACATGTATCTTAGTTATGATTATATACCCGAGTAATAAACAAGTGATTATTTATGTTATATGAAATGCGTGCTTTATAGACTTTATAGCACTACATTGGCGACGAGGATCAAACAACAATTGCGTACAGGATGACCGACGCACCACAAGTAGAAGCACAATTCCCAATAATGCC